GCTTGGCGGCCATAGCCGGGCTGCAGAGGGCGCAGAGGGGTGAAGGGCGAATGTGGTACTTCGGAGGTGAAGGGCGCTGTGTGGGTAAAGGGAGAGTGTGGGGAAGAGGACACGTACCTGGTGATGGTGGAGGTCAGCATTGGTGTTGACATCATCACTCGCTGGTAGTCAAGTTGTCTGGTTGCTGTTCATTGCTGTAGTTGTAGGATAGGCTGTAGAGTAGATAGGGCGCCTGGCGCCATTCACAAGAGAGAGCTACATTTGGGTTATGCTGTTGGTGTTGCCCTGTTGGGCATGGACATTGACTCACGATTCTTCTGTATCATTCTCAATGGGATGGTTACTCGGTTCCATGTGCTATCTGCTTTGGCTTTGAATACTTGGACTTCAGTGTGATTTTGCAATCTGGATTTCTGTGCTTCGTCCATACTCATGTTCCTTGCACAATGGAATTGGGATATTGGACTTGTTTGGAGCCGGTGTTAGGCCCGGTTATTCGTCGTCCTGCTGAGGTCCCAAGCCGTTGACAAACACCTATGGAGACAGCTTTTTGGCATTGGAGCGTTATGATTATTTGCAGCATGTTGGATGTGGCCCGAATCCTCGCTAACTTCTAAAGAGCATATTGCTTCATGGGAGGGCCTGCCCTTGCAACAACCACTTGTGTTTGCATTTCATCACGTCTGTGTTTTGTCGCTTTTTATGAGGTTGCACCCAGTGCTTGTTATATCCAGAGAGTGTAATTTTCGGTGGTAATGTAATCGTGAACCGGTTTTGCAGGGACTTGGGGTTGTCTGTAACAGGGCAGAAGGATTTCCAAAGGACGACTTTGTGGTGGAGTTCTTTGGTGAGGTGGGTCCTTCCCTCTCAGTGCAGACGTCGGTTTTTCTGAATATTTCGTTCTAAAAAACCTGCAAAGTCGACAGTCAGTTGCTCCGCCTTCCTGAATTTCTCTCCCGCAACTGGACACCTTGCAACAACCACTTGTGTTTGCATAATAGTGCCAAATGGTCTGCTTACTGAAGTTAAACAAAATAGTAATGTAAGCTGCCTTTATAACGTCTGTGTTAAACGACTAGTACCTTTGGCGCGTGGGAAAATAGCGGGCCTCCGGTGGGCCACCGACCTTTTCGGAGGCCGAAACGAAACGACGGCGGCCGACCAGATTTATCAATGGCAGTCGTCGTCGGGCCCGGCCTCCGAATCTTTAGGAGTTTGGGAAAACAGCCAGTTTTCCCTATTTTCCCACGCAGGAAAGGTACTACTCGTACCTTTGGCGCGTGGGAAAATAGTGGGCCTCCGGTGGGCCACCGACCTTTTCGGAGGCCGAAACAAAACGACGGCCGCCGATCAGATTTATCAATGGCACTCGTTGTCGGGCCCGGCCACCGGATCTTTAGGAGTTTGGGAAAACAGTCAGTTTTCCCTATTTTCCCACGCGGGAAAGGTACTAGTGGTCAGCACACGATCAGTTTTCCTTAGTCATTTCTTTGTTTCTGTTTATTTCCAAAAAGAGGGCATAGGCCCCAGGTAATTCAGAGTTTCATCTGGATTCTGGAATCGAACTCAGGTCTGTATTTCAACAGCTCATGGTGTGCCAACTGAGCTAGTCCGTGTTGGTGTTTCATTGCGTTTTTCATTTTGAAAAAAATAACAAACCACGACAGCCTTGAGATATCAGCGAATTGGACTGACCGGCCCCAGGTAATTCAGAATTATTTTCTTCCTCTCATCTGAAGGCATCTGGATTCCATTTTCAGTTTTCCTTAGTCATTTCTTTGTTTCTGTTTATTTCCAAAAAGAGGGCATAGGCCCCAGGTAATTCAGAGTTTCATCTGGATTCTGGAATCGAACTCAGGTCTGTATTTCAACAGCTCATGGTGTGCCAACTGAGCTAGTCCGTGTTGGTGTTTCATTGCGTTTTTCATTTTGAAAAAAATAACAAACCACGACAGCCTTGAGATATCAGCGAATTGGACTGACCGGCCCCAGGTAATTCAGAATTATTTTCTTCCTCTCATCTGAAGGCATCTGGATTCCATTCCCCCCCCCCCCTTTTTTCCTAGGAAGATTTTCATGACCGGCCGGTCACCCGGGAGTGATGCCTGGGATACACGGGCATGGGGAAAATAAAAATAAAAATAAATGGTGGTGGGGTTTTCCCGTTCTCTCCAAGAGGAGCCCAAATCCGGGCTCTTTTCTTTTTTTGAGTGTTGGCTGTCAAGGAGAAGGAAGGGAAGTATAAATGAGTTTTGAAGGGGCTAAAGGGGTTTAAACTTTAAAGGGGGGTGCCTTAGTTTTTTTTTCCAATCTTTGTTTGTAATTAACTTTGTATTGCAATTGTACACAACATATTTTGTTTTCAGTTTTTTTTGGAGTTTTTTTTTTGTTTTTTTTTTTTTTTTGTTTGCGGGTTGGGGCTGGCCCGGTCCATGGTCAGGGGTCATGCCCGGCTGGTCACCCAGTCAACAAACCGGGCGTGACGTCGGGACCCGGGCGCCCGGGATATCTCCCTAGCTTTTCTGAAGTTTTTTGTAAGAAGGGTGACAGTCTTGAGATATCATCATTGAAGCTGACTGGCCCCAGGTAATTCTGCAATCAGACTCGCTTTCTCTTCCACTTCGCATTCACGCAAACAGATGGCAAGTCACACTGGTGCTCAGCGCCCTTTCAAAGCTCAGAGATATGGAAGTCGGAAAACACAGTTCAGATACATGCTCGCTTCAACAGGCTATGGCGCATCAGCGCCTGTACAACTCTCTGTTTGTCACTGTGCTCAACTCCGCTGTTCACACACACTCAACTCAGGATCACTCTGGATATTACCCACACGCAACACACTGTATCACACACAGGCACACACTACACTCGCCTACCACCTACGGTGGCCATGGCCGCTCAACCCTGCTGGCTATGGCGGCGCAACCTCTACTCTGCCCACTTCGTCTTCGGGCGCTCTGCAGACCACCTCGCACAAGTCGCTCAAGCAGCGCTTCCTCATGGCTTACGCAGGAATGAATGAATGGCTGGACGCCGCCTCTTGATTTATACTTCTGGAAGTCGCTGGTCTGCCTCTGTCCACCGGACCCATAGTGCACACAGTTCTACATGGTACTTGCTGACTGGACTCAGTGAGACTGGGACTGGGTACCGCTGACTCAGCAAGGGTGGGACTCCACCACTTGCCCACTTGCCTCTAGTCTACTGTGAGCAACGTTTGAAGGGCCACTTCCGGACCTTCCGGAAGTCTGTGGACTTGGCCCTTCGACACTGTAGCAGCTACGACCTTGACCTTTTAGGACTGAAGCAGCTACGACCTTGACCTTTCGGAAATCCTACAGCCACGACCCCAGCTACAGACTTAACCCCTACGCGACAGACCTACAGGTCAAGACCCGACAGACACACTGGCCTACGACATACAACAACTGATTCCTAAGGCACAGGTTACGGGTTCAAACACACAAGGAGACTGTACACAGGGGAACGACGTCAAGGGATCGAGCCCTGGGATCTGCATACACTACTGCGAAGGTGAAAACCATTTCAATTCAGAATTATGTTGTGCTATTCCGGCCATCTGATTGTATCTTGATTGGAACTCGAGAGTGTATTTCAACAGTTCGTGGTTATACCAACTCAGCTAGGCACCAACTTCGGTCTTTCTTTCAACAGTTGATGGTTGTACCGATGGGCCCGTTGGCAGTGTTCATTGCTTTGCTGAGTTTGGTCTGTTTTTGTTGTTATCCTCGAGAAAAATTTTCAGATAGTGAAACTTGTTCTCTGGGATTTCATTTTAGCTCACAGAGATATTCAATGCAGTTTGGGAATTTGGTTCTCGTTCCTGTTCCTCTTTACTAAGCGATTCGACTTTATGGAACTGTTAATATCTGCCCAGGTATATCCCCCATGGAGGTGGTATGAAAAACAGGACGGCATCCGGAAAATTCGTACCCAAAATAAGGACACAGCAGTGCCAGAGTTTTACAACATTTTGCTGGAAAGACCTAAGGTAATGCACGTCACTTGGTAGGAGTTTCAACAACGTTGATTGATGTATATTGGAATTTGGAATCATGATTTGGGAAAAAGGTCTTGGAATCTGCGTGGCACGGCGAATGTGTTCGCGCCCCTCCACGTTCGTGCGAACAGCTCGCGAACGCGAACATATTTTTTTTCGTAAAAAATAAAATCTTTTTGTTTTGGTTGTGATTTTTTAACTCACTTTTGGCTAAGAATTTGAACATGATTCCAAGGGAAAAGTTGCTTGTATTGTTGTTTTACTGTAACTTTTACATGACGTATAATTTTTTCAGATTTTTCTGAGACCTTTTTTTTTTTTCTTTTTTTTTCTCGTTAGGAGGGTTTTGGGCGCTAGTTCGCGTTCGAGCGAGAACATGTTCGGGTTCACCCCCGCACGTGAACATGGTGCTGCGCAGCTCGGAACAACTCGGTATATACCGACGAGCTGTCGAAATACAGACCCAAGTTCGAATTCAGATACAATCAGATGGACAGAAACCAAAAAAAAAGAAGAACAAGAAACAGTAAGTGTTCTTTGTGATGGTCTGTTGAGCCAAGGTTAGATCTTCCCAGCCCAGACCCGACCAAAAAAAAAAGATCTTCCCATGAAGTGGCAGCAGCGCCAGTTCAATCTCATTTGATTGAGTTGGATCGAAAAGAGATGCAAGCCTTCCACCTAAGCTGCAGGAGAAGCTTGAACCCGATCCCAGGGAACAGTAAATCTTCATAGGGTGCAGGTAGTCCGCATCTTCACAGACATATGTCTATTTCACCAAGTCTCTCTCGGACAACTGGGCCGAACTTCCGCCCGAGTCAGTGTGTCCGCCCCTACTGAACTTGACCTAAATATCTTTTGCTTTTTTGAAACTTTTTGTATGGGTTCTGCGTCAGATGAGGTATGAATCCATAAAATTTGGGGGGCATTTGGATCAATAGAAAAGAACATCAAAATTGCCCAAGATGGCGGTGTCAAAAACATGCTCTCTGAGTCGATATTTTGTTTTTTGTTTTCCTTTTCCCCGTTTCTCTTATTTTGGGGTGACTTTTTTCTTTTTCTACTTGTGGGTTCTTTGTGAAGTGAGGTATATCCGAAGATTGCGGGTCAAAGACTACTGCTAGGCCAGTCACACTAAGCCCAAAAACATGCTCTCTGAGTCGATAAATTTTCAGAGGATTTGAATTTATGAAGAAGAAGAAAAACCGCCAAAGATTGCGGTGTCAAAAAAAAGCAAGATAGTGGGTTACCAGTAGTATTCGACCTTAAACCCTGTGGTTGTCCTTGCCGTAGTCTTTGTGACCCTTGCTGGTTGGGCTGCAGCAGTTCCGGAAGGTGGGTAGAAAAAAACAGTTCGAGTACACAGCCTGAGGTAGGTAGTGTGAGATTAAAAAAAATATTGAGAGAAGAAAATAGCGCAGTAAATGCAGCTGTCCCCCATACGAGGAGAAGGCAGGTTGCATTTTCATTTTTCTATAAAGAATAAGACAGTGGGTGGGAGAGAATGTTCCCGCTGCACCTGCTGCACCTCCTGTAGCCAATGCACATGCTGCAGCACCTGCGGGTCCAACAGCTGCATCAGCTGCAGCTTCGCCTCCCCCCCCCCCCCCCCCTTCATCTGCAGCTGCTTCAGCTGCTGCAGATTCTGCAGATTCTGCACCTACAGCAGCTAATGCAGCAGCTGCAGCTGTACCTGCAGCTGTTGCAGCTCCAGCAGCTGCTGCATCTGCGGCGGCAGACCCCAACCCAACTCCCCCCAAACCTGCTTTTCTTTTTCTTTTTCCTTCGAAAATTCAAACTGGCCCGAAACTCTTTCTGGGGGGTCCCTGCACCGAGATTGGTCACCCCCCCATTTTTAGAAACCACGGGCCACCCCCACATTGGCCGTAAACCAGTTGTCCGAGATCCCGGATGGCCGGCTCAAGTGTCCGGCCACTGGGCAGGCGGTAACATAGTAAAGTAGTCCTAGTCTGAGTACGCCCTAATTTATGGATGTAGTTGAGGCAGACGCATCCTGGTCCAGCCGTGAATCCTGTCAGATACATCTAAGATAGAACTTGTGTCCTCAGGAACGACACAGAGACGATGAGCATGGCCCCTGCGCAAGGATGGCACAAATAAATCTAGAAATGGTCCAAATAATTTAAAAAAAAGAAAAGATAGAGCACCTGTGACCAGGCACCACATCAAGAAATTGTCCGAACTTCTTTTTTCATGCTATTGTTCTCTGTCTGACTTTTGTCTATGAAAACGGAAAACCGCAAACCCTCGTCATGACTGTACCAGACGCAAAAGGTGGCTTGTGTCCATTCATTGGTAGAAGGCGCCCCCATGCCTGAACTTTGTTGAGGGGGCGCGTCTACCGATGTCCACGAGCGACTGTACGGTCCAATACAGTCGTAATGAAGTGAAGCTCGTTGGATGTTGCGACTTACAGGTACTGCTCTCTCCCTCTCTTTCTCTCTCTCATGCGCGTGAGTGCGCACTCCTGCGCACACACACACGCGTTCCTGCAGAAACTGCGACTCTCTCTCATGTGCGTGAGTGCCCACTCCTGCGCACACACACGCATTCCTGCAGAAACTGCGACTCCGAGAATTCGATGCGGTGCTTCCACATTCCACACCCGAACCAGTCCTATCCGGTGTGTAGAGGCAGCCACGTGCCATAGACAATGCGGCACGTCCTCAACACGGAACCTTTTGCTAACTCAAATACAGAACTCCGCCCCCTACCCCTTTCCTTCCTGCCTTTTATGTGCTTCTATCAACTGCACACGAGAAAGGCGCCTTAGATTAGAGAAAAGAAAAAGAACAAAAAATGAAAAGAAAAAAAGAAGGGCACCGTAGGGTCGCCTAATCGGCGAAACGAATGAATAGCAGAGACGGAGCATCATTAGAACAACTGAAATATAAGCTGGAGATCTGAAGAAAAATGAACAGGAGTATACCACCCCCTTTACTCTGCCTCCGTTCATAACGTGCAAGTGAGCCATTACAGCACAAGGGATGTGGGCAGTTGGTTCTCGACCATGATCAACGTGGCCAGCCTTGTACGTGAGAGGTACAGTAAAAAAGGAGTTGCAATAGCAAATTGAAGGGGTACCCTGAAGAAAGCCAAAGTAAAGAAACTGAAGAAAGGGATATCATGGCTGGTCCATGTTGCTTGTTATAGAGGTAAAACTGGAACGACTCATCTCAAGTATGCTTCGTTGTCTGCAATAGAGGTCAAGTTGCATTGATGTTGGATCTACTCATCTGGGTAGAACAGGCTGTGGTGGTGAAAATCCGCAACACAAACACACACATAGGGCCTCACTGCACTACTCTCTACATGCGCAAACGACAAAAAATATGGTGGTGCATCTTTCCATGTTCTTGCAGAAGGTTCATTCTCATTTTGCACATTTGGAGAGTAGTGCAGTGAGGCCCATACTCGCACTTCCTATAAAACGCCACCTCCTACCCCTTCCTCCCTCCCTTTGTGTCCCTACACTTACAGAAATCGTGAACGTGAGAAATCTGGTGTCCTGGGCCCCCCGATTCTACCGGGCTGACGGCTGGGATCATCATGTGATCTTAAGATCTTAAGATCGCCCGGCGACCCAGGCAGTCCACGGTCCTACCGGGCCACGGGCAGGATCGACGTGCGATCTTAAAGCTTTTAAGATCACGTGACGATCTGGGCCGTCGGCCCAGTACCGGTTGGCCAACGGCCGAGATTAGAAGTTGGGGCTGCCAGGCTTGGGGAAAAAACGGTTCCAGGCCCAGGTCCCCTATTGGGCGCCGCGTTTCATCCCTTCTCCCACGCATATGTTTGGCGCCGCAGGGCCAACGAGGCAACATGCACTACCACGGACCAATGTATAGCACACGAGCGAGACCACGCACTCACATGGACGGACACCCACCCGGGCAAGCACACCCCGCAGACACACGCACATGCACGCATGCACTCGAATGCATCGTGGACAGGCTGTCGGGGTTCAACCTCCTGACGAGTTGGTGAAAGTCCAACAAAACAGTCTGGCGCAGTCATGCTTTCTTTTGGAGTTCATAAAACCAAGTGCGCGCGCGAGAGAGAGATAAAGGTAGAGAGAGATAGATATATAGATAGATAGATAGATAGATAGATAGAGAGAGAGAGAGAGAGAGAGAGAGAGAGAGAGAGCCCAAGCACCCCAGTATGACAACACTGCCTGATGTAAATGACGACAAAGACATAGGCCCAGGTCCCCTATTGGGCGTCGTGTTTCGTCCGTTCTCCCACGCATATGTTTGGCGCCGCAGGGCCAACGACGCAACACGCACTACCACGGAAGCGGTGTATAGCACTGGGGCGAGACAACACGCACTCACACGGACGGATGCCCGCCTCCACAAGCACAACCCGCAGGCACACACGCATATGCATTCATGCACTCGAATGCATCGTGGGCAGGCTGTCGGGGTTCAACCTCCTGACGAGTTGGTGAAAGTCCAACGAAACAGTCTGGCGCAGTCATGCTTTTTTTTGGAGTTCATAAAAGCAAGTGTGAGCGCACGCGCGCGCGCGTGTGCGAGAGAGAGAGAGAGAGAGAGAGAGAGAGAGAGAGAGAGAGAGCCCAAGCAACCCACCATTACGACACTGACTGATGTAAATGACAATAAAGACGACGATGAAGATGAAGATGAGTGTGATTTGTGAGGACAAGGTAAGATGATTACGGCATCAGGAATCGGGAAAGGGGGTAGAAACAGGCTATCGTGGTTTCATTTTTATTTCCTTACTCTGAAGGGGGGGGGGAAGGGAAGGGGAGAGAGAGAGAGAAAGAGAGATGGAGGCCGAGGAAGGGTGGAGGGCTAGGGGAAGAGGCGAGGGTCCTGGGGGGTTGAAGGCCCGAAGTGATTTCATTTTTCGTTTTCTTTCTTTTTTCCTTTTGTATGTGTTTCTCTGTGTGTGTGTGTGTGTGTGTGTGTGTGTGTGAGAGAGAGAGAGAGAGAGAGATGGGGGAGGGGGAGGGGGAGGGGGAAGGGGAAGTCCGCGGAGCTCTTCATTTTCTTTCCTTTTTTACCGTTTGTGCCGTGCGTGTGTGTGTGTGTGTGTGTGTGGGAGAGAGAGAGAGAGAGAGATGGGGGAGGGGGAAGGGAAAGTCCGAGGAGCTCTTCATTTTCTTTCCCTTTTTACCGTTTTTGCTGTGCGTGTGCGTGCATGTGTGTGTGTGTGTGTGTGTGTGTGTGTGTGTGTGTGTGTGTGTGTGTGTGTGTGTGTGTGTGNGAGAGAGAGAGAGAGAGAGAGAGAGAGAGAGAGAGAGAGAGAGAGAGAGAGAGAGAGAGAGAGAGAGAGTCTGCATCGGACGGGTGCCTCCGTTGTTACTGTATCACCTGTTGTATTTATTTTTGCGAGCGAAGCTGCAACAGGTCATCTAGTACTAATAATAAATGCATACAAATGAGCATCGCTAAGAGAACGCACACAACACAAGCTGAAGATCTGAAGAAAAATGTACAGGACTCTTAACCCCCCTTTACTCTGCCTGCTATCATAACATGCGAGTGTGCCATTAAGGCACACGGGGATGTGGGCAGCTGGCGCTCAACCAAAATCAACGTGGCCAGCCTTGTACATGATATGCATGGTAAAAGGGGTCTAGCTGCAAGAGCAAATAAAAGGGGTACCCCAAGGAGAACTAAAGTAGAGATATTTAAGAGAGGGAAGTAATGGATCTATTGTGCCCCCTGTTGCTGGCTATTGAGGTAAACTGTTTCATTGTTAGATTGGCTCATCTAAAGTGTGCTTCATCGTCTGCAATAGAGGTGAAGTCAGTTGATTTTGGATCTACTCATCCGGTCGGAACAGGGGCTGTGGTGCTGCAAATCCACAACACACAAATGGGTGCAAAAGTGCGGCATGCCAGGTGAAGTGCATATGCTCCTGTTGCATGCGCATTACTCATCTCCTCACGGTGTCCAGCTCAGCACAGCGCACAGGCACTGTATCACTGCGCCATAGGTATGGTTTAGGGTCTATAGAGTTTAGGTTGTGCAGCTTTGCTTTGCGTTAAGTAGTGGTCAGGTTTTGTTTGTGTAGGTTGTTTGAATTTTGGAGGATTTGGCATTTGTGTAGGTTTTGTGAATTATGGAGGATCTATTGACACCACGTGTTCTAGGTTCTTCCCCGCTCCCATTGTTGTGCATTGTTGTTCATGGACTTCAGCTGATATTGAACCTTGCTGATGGTGGTGGCCCTTTTCATTCTCTCATGTGCTGAAACTACGGAGGCGGACGTGGATGGATATGACTTGCTGGTGGTGGATGCGATGCACCGGGCGAATTTTGCCAGCCGTTTATGTCATTCCTGCAGGCCGAATTGCGAAGCGAAGTATGAGTGATCAGCACCTCATAATCCCCCTCAACTGGGCATAGGACTTAGCTTTCTGCATATTTCTCCCTTCCCCCCTTCCCCCCTCTCCTTGCCCCCCCCCCTCTTCC